CTGCCCACCACGGGTATCGCAACCCGGTTTCTAGCGTTGTAAGTCCGGAGACATACCGCTGTGCTACTGGGGGGCTTCTGTAATGAAATGTACATAAATACAATAATACTGTCTGTTGTATGTCCATGTAACTACTTCGCATGGTGTGGATGGATCTTCACCAAAATTGGTATGGAGGTTTATTAGGTCCATGCGGAGATACATACAAATGTTCAGTTTTGCATTTTGCGATTTTTACCACGACTTTGCCCTGGTTTGTTGGGGGTCAAGCGGAGATATATGCAAACATTTTGTGTTTTGCAGTTTTTATGGGCGTTTTTTTTACAATTACATATAAGGGAAGCAACTTTTCATGCCCTAAGATAACCTTTCATTAATCATGAATTTACAAAACTTCCGTCCAGGGGACGGCTACTCCAGCTAATATATAATAAATTAATCAAATTTCGCAACATTTCCCAGTTATACCTAGTTCCTTGGAATAAAATAATGCCTTGTCACGAATGGGTTGAATAGACATATAAGAGAGAGACAGATAATTGGTTCATAACTCCTGCAATTCATCAAAAACAGTTTTTAAAATACGAACACAAGTTTCAGCAATGTTGTTTCGTGAATAGCGGGCACTGTATTGTATTTTATAATACAAACTTGGCTTAGAACAAGAAATTTCATACCCTTTGTATTTTTATTCGTGTCTCTCTAAAGACAGGCACATATGTATCTTCTTAAATTCACGTTATAATCTCGAACCAGTACGTCATGCTGCATGTCAAAGGTTTATTTTAGTAGTAGAAATCTTAATAAACATTTATGTGCAATATGGATATGCCTAAATCTGTCATTAAAACAGGGAGATATACTTAAAACTTTTATCATTATCACACGGGTATCATTATCTCTTTAACTGCACACCGTCATTTTCTCGAATTTATAGTTACCACTAATGTTACAATTGTACGTGTACGATTGGGTCGGATCAGCCTGAAAATAAAACAAATAAAACCAGATTTTCAAATCCATATCAACTAAGACAGTATACTTATACTTTCAAACTAAGTCACACGTGCTGGTTAAACTATCAAAGGGCCAGTAGTTCACCCATCAGTTTTCCTCCTTTTTTTTCCCTTCGCTGCATCTGTCGTCACGTGTTCATCAATGTCTTAGTCCCGCTAAAGTAACTCTGACGGTGTTGAGCACGAGGAATTTCTCTTTCCCCATCTCCTTCCCTGGCCTCTGTCCGAAAGTAAAACCGGAACTCAGCCAAAGGTCGCCTTCATCTCGTCGCGATACTTTATCTGATGATGTCGCCATAGTGACGAGTGCTCGGGCCACGTTCATCGTGCGCTTAGCTTACACATAAGAACGGCTAACCGAAAGTGATGATAGAGACCTCCGTTACAGAAGCATTCCTCCTAAGAGCAGGCAAGAAGAAGGGTATTCACACCTACGTCAGATAATTAAGCTTTTTGTTTCTTCTGTTAGCACTGACGCTTCACGGAGTTTATTCTTGGCATGATTAATTAACTCTGAAACTATTGGTGCTTACCAAGAAATGATATTGGAATTAATTATTAAAGAGTATGGAAATATAACACGAACAAAAATATTACCGCATCTAACGAATTAGGATTTAAAAAAACTAAGAGAGACACATATTATGACTGTCGGCAGCTGCAAAACAGTTTACATTAAGTAATTAAATAATTACTTCTTCGTATATATGAAAAAAAACAACAACTAAATTTGCATACCTAATCAAACAGTAGTGTTGCTCTGACAATACGACAGATGGCGCTAGCTCTAAAACGTGTGATTTTCATAATGAAAATTGTATAAAAACGAACACACGATTGTTATCAAGAAATTTGCGTATATCTTAAAGTAAATCTAGAAATAATTTACTAGCACAGATTAGAAATCTTACATACATCGATATTTTCTTCTGTGTTATCCAAAGAGGTTTAAAAAACCTCCCGAAAACAATAATCAAGTCTCCAAGCTTCAAGGCTACGCAGACATGGTAAAAACAAGAAAGTTACGAATCTATTAAACTCACCCTATACGCTAACATCTTGAACCTGTCACGCGTACTGAACGTTACGTCAGAAACTCTCTCCTTGATCTTCTGCAGGCCTATACTATAAAACTGAGGGGGAGTTGAGGAGAGAGCTTTTTTACTGTTTTGGTGATGTGGATACAATCTATGCCCAAATGCCCAAAATAGGAAAGAATGTGAAATCGGGCTGTAGATTACTTGTGCAGTATGTAGGGTTCGATTTTTAGCATTTCAGTTTATTAGGTCCCTGCTTTTAGGACATCTCAGATGTGGTTATGTGATAAAGTAATTTAATAAATTATGATAATTCAGTTTGGAATTATTTGTGTGGTATTTGGTTACCGCCTTCACTCAACAAAGGAAACACTCATTTATTTCCTAAACTATATATATAGACAAGAACTAGAGTCGTTTTATATTACTTCATATGCTTCTAATTGAGTTCCTCCATCACAGTGAAATCGCAAAAAAAAAGACAACTTTTTTACAGTATTATTCTCTTGGCAAATCGAGCACAACATATTTATATCTTATTATTATTATTCATTGTGTATGTTTACCTTATTGTGCTCAACGAAAAAAAAAATCATAGAAGGTGATATTACAAACGAACTGGTTACAATAGAATAAAATAGTGTAAATCAGGAGTTTCAAACCTTTTTGACTAAACCCCTCCGTCCCCACCACAGTAGGTATTCTACCTGGGGATTCCAACCCAATGAATCTACTTAAGTTCTTAGGATTGCTTTCATATGAGTTACTGTTGCTCGTTTTGTTCCCCCTTATAATTACTCATATACACTCAATACAATAATGACATAAACTGTAGACGAGAGCATTTGAAGAAAAGGTCTGTTTGTTGAACTTCGCGCAGAGCTACTCGAGGGTTATCTGAAGTGATATACTAGAGAGAAGGCAGCTAGTCAGTCAACACGACCCACCGCCAACTCTTGGGCTACTCTTTTACCAACGAATAGTTGGACTGACAGTCACATTATAACGGCTAAAATGACGAGGTTCGAACTTACGACCTGCTGACTGCGAGTTAAGTGTCCTAATCACCAGGCCATGCTAGACCATTTAAAACAGGAAAGAATATTATTTTACGTGCAGCTGTCCCTCTGAAACCACGGTTTCAAGTTTGGAAATCCTAACTGTATATCTCGACTGTAAACAGAATAAAGAACATTGAAACAAGTAATTTATTTGAACTTTAAACGAAAAAAATATCATCTTAAAATTTTTTGTTTCAGATATTCGCGCCAACTACCGAAGGGATACCAATGGCTTGGCCACTTAATCATATAATGTGCCGTTCTGGTTGAATATACGTAAAGATCTGGAAAAATAAATCTTGATTTTTGTATCAAACAGATTAGTGCTATAAAAACTGCCAAGACTACAGAGAACTAGGAACAAAATTGTGAAATATAAAAAAAATCGTCTTACCAAAATGAGGTTCCATTAGACGGCCAATGTTTCACAAATGCAATTCATGATCGCAGCTCTCGTTTTATAAAATCTGCTCTGGTTCTTTCGCCTCTAAATCATTTTCCAGATAATCTGCTGTTTAAAGTTTTCTTTGAGGTACAAACCGTACACACGAGTTCTTTGAGACACAGCAATATTTCCAGGATTTATTCAGCCCTATAAAGAACAAATATTTAGAATATCTGATAGAACTGAATGTTTGAAACATGTATTTTACATTTAATGCATACACTCACCAATTTGTTCAAGACTCACATTGCAATTACTGCTGACAGTCACGCCTTTTACTATTTATTAAAGAGGTTACTTTATAATTGATTTAATAATCAATAGTGGATTCTGTTTAAAGATCCCTGTGATTAGCTGCAAGCTCAAACAGACTGGTATATTCGAGAACTAGGGTTGATGAATTACAATAAAAAGAAAAAAAACGTGGGATACCAAAGGGAATTAGCAGTTAATTAGCAGTTCTATAAGCATCCTGCTACAAACAAAGATAAATCTAAGTCATTGTATTAAAAATATAAACATTCTGCTACAAACAGAGATGAATACAAGTCACAGTATTAAAAATATAAACATCCTGCTACAAACAGAGATAAATATAAGTCACTGTATTAAAAATATAAGCATTCTACTAGAAACAGAGATAAATCTAAGTCACTGTATTAAAGACATAAACATTCTGCTACAAACAGAGATAAATCTAAGTCATTGTATTAAAAATATAAACATTCTTCTTCAAACAGAGATAAATCTAAGTCATTGTATTAAAAATATAAACATTCTGCTACAAATTGGGTTAAACCTAAATTACTGTATCAAAAATATAAGCATTCTGCTGTAAACAAGAGTTAAACTTCATAAATACCACCTCGTATTAGATTATGTTAATTGTACTTTAGTCGCAAATCCAAACTCTTAATCTCTTACTACAAAGCCAAGTTATGTAGCATAGCCTACGTTTGATGGTTGAGCGAAGAAAGTTCCATTTATTGTTCCCCAATGCGTTAAACTTGAGAGATTCATAACAATAAATTCGAGGCTCGACCCCTGCGACACCGCAGTTTGTGCTGTAAAACAAACTTCTCCACACGTGATCCGTTTTTTTAAATTTTGCCACACACACCTGTATAGTGTAATTTCTCAAATGTGCGAAATATTAAACAGATCCCCACTAACAACGTTAAACAATATACTAACGCATCCAGCAGAAAATCAGAGTTGTTCACGAATTTCACTTTTTAACTGTTTTAACTGTCAGCCTATAATATATATATATATATATATATATATATATTATTACTTAACTAAGTAACACGTCTACGTTCTTACTAGTCGGCGTAGACTAATACTACGTACAATAACATAAAGTTAAGTTTAG